CTAATTCGTTACAGAGTAGAAAACCTCATCTTTCTCCCTCGGAACCACTGGTTCCAAACTCCTTTTGGTTAGCAGACCAACATATATGTTCAGGGATTGGAGGAATTCATATTGTTAAGAAGTCAATACCCCAAATGGTCCAGAGATTAAATATACATAATCACAATCACAATTCTAATAGCCTTTCCCACAGACAGAAAAACCAGTCCTCAATTTTATATGGAACGACCAAACCAAACGCGATGCCACTGAGTTGATGCCAACTCATAGCAACCCTGTAGCACAGAGTAGAACTGTCCCTGTGGGTTTCCGAGGTAAAACGGCAATTCTCTGCAGAAGCAGAAAGCCTTGGGTAGAACTGTCCCTGTGGGTTTCCGAGGTAAAACGGCAATTCTCTGCAGAAGCAGAAAGCCTTATCTCTCTGCCACAAAGCGGCCAGTGGTACTGAACTGCTAACCTAGTGGATAGCAGCTGAACTTGTAACCATTATGCCACCAGGGCTCCTATGGAATGGCAAGAGGCCCTAATAAACAACCGAAAACAATGTTGAAAGAGAACAAAATGGGAGAATTCACACTTCTGGATTTCTAAATACATTATATAGTTATCATCCCAATGTTTAACCCAATGCATCACTAGGCTTCCTTCATTAGCCGTTTGAAGAGAAGTGAATCAAACTACAATGATGTACCATTTTACTCCCTCGATGATGTCCAAAGGATCCCTGATCGTGCAGTGGGTTATGAGATGAGCTGCAGAGCACAATGTCACGAGAGAACAGTCTCTGGAGAAGGACATCATGCTTGGTAAAGTAGAAGGGCAGCAAAAAAGAGGAAAACCTCAGATGGATTAACAGTGACTACAACAATGGGCTCCAGCACAGGAATAGCTGTGAGGAATGTTGCAGGACCAGACAATATTTCATTCTGCTGCACACAGAATCCCTATGGGTCAGAACCAACTCAATGGATCTAACAGCAACAGTAGCAAGTGAAAGATGCCAGACAGATTATATATTGAACAATTCAATTCACATGAAACATCCAAATCAGGAAATCCATAGAGACAGCTAAGAGCTAAGATGGGGAAAATAGCGAGCAACTGATTAATTAGTACAAAATTTTCTTGTGTGGTGATGCAAATGTCTGGAAACTAGTTAAAAATGATAATTGCAAAAAATAAATAAATAAATAAATAAATTTAAAAAAAAGATAATTGCACAGTACTATAAATGTACAAAATGTCACTAAATCGTACCCTTTAAAATGGTTAAGGTTAATTTTACATTATACTTTCTAAAAGAAAGAAAGAAGTCACTGAAAGGGAGTGGGGTATAGGGGGAGGTCAGATGCGCAGGCATCCCCCGCCCCAGGGCCATCAGTTGCCAGACTGCAGTGGGGCCCCTGCTCCCTGCTGCTGGGGACAATAGACAGGCTCCTGTAGGAGTTCACATCTTACTGATAATGGTCTCTATCAACTGAGCCAGCAACAAGTCAAACCTGCTCTTTGACATCCAAAATTAGGCTGCCATCCTAATTCTAGGATCCGCCCATCTTGTCACTTGTATACTCTCAATCCCTCCTCTTCCTATTGCGTGTATGTCCCTAGACCACCCCCTCTCGTTGCTGTATAACCTATAGTGCAACCCCTTCCTGTGACGTATGTCTTTACCTGTAATTACTGGGCTTGCACGCCCCCAAAAGGTATATAGGCCTGGGCTAGGAATAGAGCTCTCTCGCTGGACTCTCACAGGTCCCACTTGCTTCTCCTCTCCCATCCTCTCTCCCTTGTTCCCTTTCCCATCCTCCTTCCCTTCCCCTTCTCTCCACGTGGACCACCAGACTGGGCTGAGGTGAGCAATGCTACCATGTAATATGTCTGACTGTATTAATGTATTATCTCTTCTATCACTCATGCTATCGATGACTTTAATATAATACTTATATACCTCAACTGTACAATTGTGCATTACTGACCCGTGACTAGCGGTGGGGAGTGGTCCCCCCACCCCCCAAAAAACTTAATACTACAGTGGGGGTAAGAAATTATCGTCTCTAATTGACAAGAAACACAAAACATTTTATTCAGCAATTACAAAGAAGAAAAGCTGAAAAGGAGACGAGATAAGAAGAAAAAACAGAATAAAGAATAGATGAATAAGGAGAAAAGAAAAACCACAAAGGAGGGAAAAAAAACACAAAATCATGACAAACAAACATACATCACCAAAAGATAAAAGCCAAAAACCACAACCACTGTGAGTTGATTCTGATTCATAATGACCCTATAAAGTAGAGTAGAACTATTCCATATGAGTTCCAAGACTGTAAATTATAGGTTAACAAATTTATTTGGCATACCTATCCCTTTCCAGAAACAAAGAAAAAAATTACGCTATGTCCCCCTGCCATTTAAAATTTTTGTACTATAGCCCATAATTCAGGATGAAGTGTATCCCTGTGTTTACAGCCCCAATGGATCGTTTCAGCACACCCAGGGGGTGGTATTGCTCACTTTAGGAAACATTCCTGTAACCTTCACAAGAGCAGACAGCCTCATCTTTCTCCTACGGAGTAGCTGGTGAGTTGGAGCTGCCCAATTCTTAACCCACTGTGCCATTCAGGGATCCTTACAAATAAAGGACAGAAGTAAAAAGAGAAAGATTCACTATCTTCTAAGCAAGTGCATCAATGAGCTACAGTACTTCATCTGCTTCAATACATAATTAGCACTAGGAGTTTCTGTCCCTCTTTTATGGAATAATGGGGATATATATAAATATACTAAATTTTAATATACTATACTAGATATGGTGATGGAGTGGTTATGTGTTGGGTTGACATCGCACGAACTATAGTCCTTTTGTTTGTTTGTTTTTGGTCTGTAGTTCTAAACCACCAGCAGCTCCTTGGGAGAAAGACTAGACTTTCTAATCCCATAAAGTTAGTGTTGGAAATCCACTGGGGTCGCTATGAGTCAGCATTGACTTGATGGCAGTGAGTGACACTATATATCATGTACTATGAAC